TTCCGGTTGGTGTTGGGGGACCGGGAAAGCCGGCGGCTGCAGCAGCAGACCCAAGGCGGTGGTGCGCGGTGCTGATAAGGTTGTTTGCCGTCCCGCGTGTGGTCTGAATGTCACTGAGCGCTGACCGGGCACGTGAGACGGCGCCGTGCAGGTGGTGCTCTGCGGGGCAGGATGCCCTGCGCGCACACGGAGTACGCTTAATGTTCTGGAGCTGCCTTGGAGGGGGGACCAGGGTCTGTGGGGAACGCGTGTCCTTGCTGTTGCGCTCCAGTCACGAGCTGGTGGAGGGGAGTGGAAATCCGCAGGCGCTCTGCGAGGCTTGGCTCGGCTCTGGCTGTGTTGATTAGGGGTTCCTGTGCTTACGAGGCATTAAGGCAGCGACTGAAAAGAAGCTGGAATGAAAGGTATGAGGGCGTGGGGCCCGTGTGCAAGCTTTCTGGTAGCAGTTTCAGCTCTCTGAGGCTGCTGCTTTCGCACCCACTTCAAAGTCCTAGTCTCGGCGCGTTTCTTTCGGGAAGCCAGATAAAAGCACAGAAGAGAGTGGCTGAGCTGAAACACAGGAATTCCATGTTGTGTTTCTTTTTTTACCTTCTTTTTTTTTTAACCTTTCCTGGTCTGTGTTTTAAAACAAATTTTACATTTTACTTCTTATTTACGATAAGAAATGTTTTCCTTGGCACGTAGTTGTAAGATTAAAGTCTTTTCTCTTTTTTTTTTTTCACTGTAGGCTTATTTGGTTTTTAAAACGTGAACAGCCTCTGTTGTTCTAAATTAGCTGTGCCTCTCAAGAACGTGTCTGTAAAAGAGACCTCCTTGTTTCTGCAGGTGGTACAAGCTTCGATCCAAACCAGGGAAGAAAGAAAAGGAGAGAGGGGAGATCGAAGTGGATATCCAGTTTATGAGGAGCAACATGACAGCCAGTATGTTTGATCTGTCCATGAAAGACAAGTCTCGCTCTCCCTTTGGCAAGCTCAAAGACAAGCTCAAGGGGAAGAGGAGCAGTGGCCTTTCCGACACGGCGTCGGCGATCATTCCCAGCACGACTCACTCCCCCGCTGACAGCGAGGATGAGTCGGTTGAGAAGGAAAAGAAGAAATCAAAGTTCAAAGCCCTGTTTTCTAAACCTGGCCTGCAGAAGACTTCTCTCTCCCAGTCCATGTCAGTCCTACCGACGCAGTCGCCTGTCACCGGGAGGGTTCGGCTCCGGCCCAGCGACTTCCAGTCGCAATGGGACGACGATGATGACGAGTTTGAGATCTCTCCGACCTCAGAAAGTGAGTGTTGGCACTGGTTGGCACAAGGCCTCGCTCTAAAGGTTTGCTTGCACTGCTCACGCTTTTTACACTGCTCGTTAAATTCTTCTTACTGAAGGAATCCATAGAAAGAGGGTACCCACGTGGTCACGCGTGTAGGACATCAGGCACTCACGGCTAAGCTTGCCTTGGGATGGCATCAGAACTGTGGGGCTGCGCGAGCGATGTCCGCGCGAGCTGGCGGTGCAGCTTCACGCCGAGTGATCTGTGTGGACAGCGCGTGCGCCCCGGTGTGCCGGGGGCTGGCGGGGGGGGGGGGAC